GGGAAGAGGGGGGAGGAGACGCACACAACAGGAGGTTATTTCACAGGTCTTGTACTCATCCTAACTGCTACTGCTCAAAGCTTTTGTCTCCCTCCGACATCATATAGTATATGCATGCTTGACTTGAAGAATTGGCAAAACAATCACTGGGCAATAAGGGGGAAACAAGACTCTCTTCAAAACTTGGCTTTATCATTGATCAACCAGCAGATTTTGCTGTGGAATAATGAAAGATGCTTGTTACCATAACAATAGGGCCACTTCTCATTGACATAACCCAGTGGTGGTCAACCGGGGGTAGGGCCACTTCTCATTGACATAACCCAGTGGTAGTCAACTGGGGGGACACGTACCTCTAGGGGTACTTAAAAAGGTTGTAGGGGGTATGCAGAACTGATGTGGCTGATAAATGTTGTGTACATGTGCACAGGCAGCCAGGAGCACAGCCCAGCAGCATGGAGAGCAGCAGGGTCCGGCAGGAGGGAGTGGGGCCGGGGCAGTGGCTGCCTAGGCAGGGTGGAGGCGGGGAGGTGGCTCCTGCTGCTAAGTGCACCGTGGGAGGGCACAGGGTGGAGGGGAGGGGGTGCGTCCCGGATGTGAGTGGGGCGAGGGCGGGCTGCAACTGCTGGCTGGGGCCTGGGCAACGCCAGGCTGTTCCTGCCAGGGGTTTTGGGTCAGGCTGTACATGAGCTGACACTTTGAGCCAGAAGGGGTAACTTGTTAAAAAAGGGTGAAAACCCCTGAGAACCTGTAAGCCAGGCTAATACATGCAGCCAGATGACAGCAGAGGGCACAGTTCTGTGTTCTTGCTCAGGGGCATATTGCCAGCTTTGTGGCTAGGTTACATATGGTTCTTCTCCAAACCTGCCAGTCATCTACTTGGTGATTCTGACAAATTTTTGAAAAGGAAAAATTCAGCTCCTGGCGCAACCTGTTCCAAGAGATCCACATCAGGCTCCTGCCCCAAAGCGCCGTGTTCCTATTGAGTCCCACAGACTTCATGCCCACATTTGCTAAGACCCTCTGCCCAACAGCAACATGAGCAATCTACCCAATTTAGAGAGAAAAAAAATCTATCAGAGAACAAAAATGTAAAAACACCAATAAAGCAAAACCACGGCAGAAGACCTTAAGAGAAAAAAACGATGACTACAAATGATGGCCTTAGAACATGAGCTAGGGTTCCCTCAGGTTAAAACCTAAGCCTCATCTGGGTCTCAGTGGGTCTCCTGGGTTTACAGGTTTTGTCATTGAGGGTAATGGTAACAAGCATCTTTCATATTCTCTAGCAAAATCTGCTGGTTGATCAATGATAAAACCAAGTTTTTAAGAGTCTTGTTTCCCCCTTATTGCCCAGAGGTTGTTTGGCCAATTCAAGGCAGGCATGCATACTATATGAACTCGGAGGGAGATCAAAGCTTTGCAGAAGCTTTTCACAGAAGCAGTTAGGATTAAACGCCTCATTTTACTATGTGGTGAAATGACTTCCACTTCTGTCCACAGGAGACTAGATTTTTATACTGCTAGACATTTAGAAACAGGGTTTCCTATATGCCTATAAAGCTAACAAGGTTTGTGTTTCACAGCAGGAAATTCTAAATTGTCTCAGTATGACTTCTGAAGAGTATTTAAAACAGTTTTCACAACAGGTTTACAGAAAACTAAATGCCTTCTAGGGCTTACCAATATCATTTATCTATCCCAGTGTACTGTAACTAATCCTCATTTTATCTCCTGGGTCGCACATAGTAGCTCAGTATTAAAATGACTGCCTAGGTAAGAACATTATTTATCCAAGTAGTAGTTAGTCTCAGAATTTAATGCTTTTAGTGGTGTCTACATAAACTTTCAGGACAGTGAGTCATTAGACAGCAAGGGGATATTCTTCGAACAGTGAAAGTGTTTCTGTATCCTGTTTGTATAAACATCAGCCCTGTAACCTCAGTTCCTCTCTACACCTGAAGACAAGTTTGCATGTGGCCAGTGAGGCTAGTGTCAGGATTGTTTCTGGATACTGTCCTTTCAGAAAGGTCCAAGAGACATGCATCTCCAAGAAAATGCAACACTGAAGAGTCCAAAACTCTAAGTAAGAGGTAACTGATCTTTAAGGTTGTGACTCCTTGATCAGAAGCCTGAACTTGTTAGAGCTAGTGACAGCCAAGACTTTGTATTAAAGCTGTCTTCTATCTATCCCCAAGCATTATGAAGATCTTTCACTGCAAATCAGAAAAGATCCTAGGTTGACAGAATTCATTTGCAAGGGCTCAGCCAACAAAACCTTTTTCATACAGAAGATGACCGTAAGTCATTAGGTCTGCTTGTGTGCTTGCTTTGGTGAGTCATGAGGAGGCCCTTTTGCTGAGGTATCCTAAGCAAAAAGATCACTTACTTTACCAACTCATGATTGCATGAGAAGCTTTCCAAAGGCCAAGATCACTGTGCTTTTGGAAGAAGCACTGTCAGAATAAGGGCTTGGTACAAGACCTTAAAGAGTATGCACTATTAAAATAGGGTTTCAGAGCTGTATGACAGGGCTCCCATGAAATAGGCATGGGAAGGGATCAATGAGAAAACAACTAAGCCCTTGGACTGATGTAAATTTACTTGACATTGGGAACAGCTCTAAGCAACCAGCCTTCAGGTTACAAGCTTGCCACAAAAACAATTCATCTTAAGAAAGGTGAAAACTAAAGATATGAAGTCTTCTTAGGGACGAAACCCCACCCCTCAAAAACAAAACAAAAAACCATCCCAAATCTGAGTAATGATTTCCAACAAAAGGATTTAAAATTTTTCATCTTCTTAAACCAAGCATGCATGTCTGCCATAGTTGTAAAGCAAAACAGTGGCATTTTAAAAAAAACTGAACCAAGAGTCTGACATCCAAGTGCCTATTCTAATCCTTACACAATTCTTCCTCACTAAAAAACTAAACTTCTCAAAGCAAGTGTAGCGTTTGCAAATAGGTACTTGCTTCCTGCTTCTTGACTTGAGAATTTTCACAGCTTTTAGTGAGAGAATTCCTTTAATTAGCTGAAGAGTTTAATTGCAAGTTACAATTAAGAGTGCAGAAGACAGATTACACATTCCTGCCCAACTCAGGAAACAGCCAAAAGTTGGTGCATGAAAAGGCACTTTCAAAAGTTTGGCTGGTACATATTTGCAGGGGGGTTTCTTAACAGTTTAAAAGATGGAGCCACTTTCTGATTAAAAAGTCATCTGCCAAGGCACAATATCCACCAAATCTGGATGCATTTAAGAGCTGCTTTTCCTTGGTATAACAAATAAAATGCAGTGCTGTTTACTGCTCTTTTTATAAATGCAATATAAAAGGTGGTTTGCTAATTATTCAGTAATGAAATTAGAGGGAATAAGAGGTTTATGCTACTTTAGGTACTGCCCAACAAGCTGCTGCTGAAATATTACTAAGACTGCCAAGACATCAGCTTCCTTCTCCAAGCAGAGGCTATTTAATCCTTCAATTAATTAGCCTTTGGAACAGAGCTGTGGTTTAATCTAGAAATCAGGTTTACTCAGTAGGAAGCAGAAGAAATTCTAGACTGTTAATCCTTGATAACTTGAAATGCGTGGTTTAAAAAAAAAGGAAAGAAAGTGACAAAAGTGGCTCATCAGATGTGGAATTTTTCTTTCGAAATAATTAAATATAAAATATAAATGTTTTTATCACAATTCAGATCAGCCCTCTCTTCTGTGACACTGGTGGGATTTTAGAGAATGCCGTGA